CCCAACGTGATACTTGCATTAACTGAAAATCCAAGTTCGAAGTGTGTGTGTGCGTCGGAGAAGCGATCAGTCAGTAAGAAGTTGGCGTGCCTGCTGCCCCCTAAAGAAACGCCGCTCCGCATTTTGATCCCACAAGACTTCCCAGCTTGAAGATATGTCTTAGTGTCGTATGTGGCGCTCCGGATGTAAAAACAATAAAAAGGGCCGGCAGGCTGGCGGCGGAGGGAGTGCTGACGAAGTCGCTAAGAATCCCACCACCATCAATTCTCAAACGTGGACATTGACCTGTCGTGCGTGCGAGCGTGCGTACGTGCGTGCGTGCGTCCGTGCGTGCGTGTGTGCGTGCGCGGGCGTGCGTTCGCGGGCGTGCGCGGGCGTGCGTGCGGGCGGGCGGGCGTGCGGGCGTGCGGGCGTGCGGGCAGCATGCTGGTGGCTGCCATGCGCCAGAACGGGATTTTGATCTAGTCATGTTGTTTGGATGCAATTTACTGTGAGCTGGAAGCCAAGTTAAGACATGTCCTGTGTGTGTGTGTGCCTGTGCCTGTGCGTGTGCTTGCACATGTCTCAGAACTTGCGATTGCATGTCTACAAATACATCCATCGGGGATATATATATATATAGCTACATTTACACTGAAATGGTGTCCGAGTCCAACTATGCATTTCTGAAACTGTTTCCCCTTTCGATCTTTTTTGAGCGTACTTTGTATCCAAAAAAGAATGCATTCCTCCTATTGTCTTTTTCAGAAGTAAATTGCATCGTCGAATCTAAGCCAAGCTACGAGAGGCCCTCCTCAAATTTGGCCTCAAACCTGCGAGATGCTTCGATCGGTCAAATCAGCTCACCACGACGAAATGCCGCTGGGTGGCTGTACTGCAAAGGAGTCTCCGTCTCCCACTGAGACGGGATCAAATTTCACAGCCTCGGCTGAAATGCTGAAAGAAGAAACACTTCAAGGCTTCAAGAGAAGCCCAAGCGGAATTGTGAAGCTTGATGAAGCTTGATGAAGCTTGAACTGTTCTACCCAAGGCACTGCCCCATAATGTCTGGCTGCCTCCGGAACTTGGAGGCCAAGGTCACCCACAAATGCCTGCATGTGTCGAGCTTGGCCGAATTCAGCAACTGCTCATGTGGACACTCGAGGGACAGAGCCATGGAGCAGAGAGGGCGGAGGAGAGTGGATGCTTCCACTTTCCATTCCCCTGTCCCCCTCTCCTTCTCCTTTCTCTTCTCCCCCTCCCCCTCTCCCTCTCTGCCTCTGCCTCTTCCTCTGCCTCTGCCTCTCTCTCTCTCTCTCTCATTCTCTCTCTCATTCTCTCTCTCATTCTCTCTCTCA